TTCTCAGTATCTCGTATGAGCACCACGAGCTGCAATCACTGCACGGCATCTCCTTGGACAAGAACGGATAAGACGCCGGATTCTTTCCTGGGAATGGCTCTCCACTCCTCCTGCAGTGCAACGCCGAGCTGTTGCAGCGTCTGTAGGCGGCGGCTGACGTTGACGTACGCGTCGACCCAGAGTATCCCACAGGTGTTCAATAGGGTTGAGGTCTGGTGATTTAGAGGGCTATGGCAAGACATTGACGTTGGAATTCTGCAGAAAGTTCATTTGTTGCACGCACGCAGTATGAGGCCGGGCGTTGTCTGGTTGAAAAAATCTGTGTCTGTTGGTCAATAATCGGGAAGGTGAGGCTGTAATACGTGGTTGATGTAACGTTGGGCTGTCAGGTTCCCTTCAACGATCACCAAGTCTGATTTCTGGTTGTATGAGATGGATCCCCAAACCATGGCATCGCTTTCTCCGCCAAATCTGTCCCCTGTCGGACGCAGATGGGTGCAAAAAGTTCATGACGTCTCTCCCTATACACACGTTTTCTTCCGTCGTGATGCAAAAAAGAAAACAGGATTCATCAGAAAACCAGATGCGCCTCAGTTTTGTAAGTCCATATCCTTACGTTGTTGCACCACCTGAGTCGTCGGCGGAGATGTAGGGGCGTAGTACAGGTCCAACAACTGGTCTACAGGCATCGTAAACCCCGCTTCTTTCAGACGGTTCCTAATCGTTTGAGCTGACACTCTCCCTCAAACCTGGTATTTGTGTGGCGGTCACGGTTGGTAGGGCATGCCGATTACGCAGGTGATGGACCCGGATGTACCGATCTTGAAGGGGGTCGTGATTCTTGGCCTTCCACTTCTCGGGCGATCGTTGGTCAAATTGAAGTTGTTGTAGTCGGGATATCGTTGTTTTGTGAACATTTAGGTGCCGTGCAACAGTTCCAAAAACTTTCTCCGGCTTGAACACGACCAATGGCGATATTTCGGCAGCACTCAATCGTGGCATTTTCACACAGCTTTTCATACGACAAATGAATGAATATAATGCAAGCAGCATGGGCTTTATACACCCCTACATTAACTGCCATTTTCATGATTTGCATGTGTTTTTTTTGTGCGAAGTCACCATGAGGGTCATTTCATGCGTTGTGACGGAATAAGCAATAAAATACACTTATGCGTACAAATGCAGTTGTTTGGATGGTAATCTTCATTAATTACGTGTATAATTTCAATACATTCGAATAACATTTAGTTTGGAAGCAATAACTTCATTCAAACGAATTTTTCATATCTGAGGACAGGGGTTGCGTTTCTTTTTTGACAGAGTTTATTAGGTGTGGTGAAACACAAAATGAACTTAGTCGTTGCCCATATGTGTCAAATATTGCCCATGTTTATTTTATAGGCTCATTTTTGTGCCTGTGTGATGTGTGGATTTTGTATGTTTATCTTGTGACATGATTGGGTGATTGGCCGATGAGTTGACATGAATGAGTAGTCCTTGTGTTGTAAATTCCTTCTGTCATTTTTTTAGGTAACTTGGTTCCTACTGTCATATCTTAATTGATTCAAATACCAAATCCATACTTAGGTTATATTAACTAAATGTTTAAAGCAGTACTCAGTTAATTCAACTCTTAATTAAATTTAGCATTAACTATGTAGTAACATAGCTTAGTACTGCCTTAGTAAACTTGTTGTTGCACGTTTCTTTCTTCTCACATAGTTAGGTACCCTCTACTCAACTAATTCGTCACATTGCCCTCCAGTCTGTACAGTTGTGACCACTTTTATTTTAAATTTTGGTTATCTCCTTTATAGCTTTTAGTTCTTTTTTATAAACCATTCACATTGGTGAGTGTCATTTTGTGGCTAGTTGTTTGGTCTGTTAGTCATGGAGGGAGTGATTTGAAAGGGTCAGATTCTATGCCAGAGTTAGAAGGTGATCCAGATCTCACTGGTCTTAGTGACACTTTGAAGCAGATGAGTGTAGTGCCTGTGGTAGATAGCCCTGAACATTTTTAGGATTGGTTGGTTTCCTATTTACAGTCGATAGAGAAGTTGTCGGGTGATACTCAGTCTAACCCTGAAGGTACTTTGGGTGGAAAATGTTTTCAGCCTAAGCCTGATAGCAAGTCAGTAGTTACTAATTTAAGTCAGACCCCTAAATTGTCATCTTTCTTTGGTGAAGCTGGTAAAGGTGAGGCTCCTTATGATCTGTGGCGCTATGAGGTAGAGCGTCTATTGGTTGAGAGTTCTTATCCTAAGAATGTCATATTTGAGGCTGTACAACGTTCTCTGAAGGGAAAGGCTGGTAAAGTAGCTTCACTCCGAGGTCCAAAGTCTACCATTGATTCATTGCTAGCTAAACTTGCAAGTGTTTATGGTAGTTGTGAGGAAAGTGAATCCTTGATGGCAAGATTCTATAGTGCTAAACAGATGGCAGAAGAGGATGTTTCTTCTTGGGGTTGCAGACTTGAAGATCTATATGCTAAGGCTAGACAGAGTAGCAAGTCATCACCAAGTGAGACTAACCAAGCCCTTAGAAGTGTTTTCTGGCAAGGTCTTAAACCAACTTTGAAGGCTGCGTCTGGTCACAAGTATGATGCTATTGAGGACTTTGATGAGTTACGTGTAGCGATTAGAAGGATTGAGTTTGAGTTGAATCAGAGGAAGCCCCAAGAATATCCTAAGAAGCCCATCCCCTCTAAAATGGCTACTCGCTCTTCTGACAAACATTACCAGGAACTGAAAGGCATGGTACAGCAATTAACGTCAGAGTTTGGTGCCATTAAAAAGCAACTACCTGACATTCCTACCCTTACTCATAGTCCATCTCCTTTCAGATTTAGAGGAAGAGGCATCCTAATCGAGGCTCAGTTTGTAGTCATGGCAGATCTAATTACTTGTCATCTTGGAACCATGTAGGACGAGGTCAAGTTAGTACAAGAGGTCAACCCAGATACAGTCCTATATACTTACTGCTTACAAGGGAACTGTTCCTCAGGATGGCAGCCAGAGCATTGTTTTGTTGGAAATGTGGACAAATGGGACATTTTGTTGCGTGGATGTAGGTTTTATTATGGACCATAACTGGACTTTAAACACAGGCAGGCCCATGGAGACTGGGCAACACATGGGCCAACCCTGAGAAAATGCATGCCAGGAACGACGTCCAGCACACCTCCAGAAGAGTTGATTGGAAAAAGCAAATGAAGCCAGTGTCACAGTATGTGGTACAGTATGCACAGCTTTACTTGATACAGGGGTCCACAGTATCTACTACTGTAAATGAATCTTTCTACAGGAATCACCTTTCTCATCTTTCATTGCATCAACTTGAACGTATTTTGGACACTGAATGTGCAAGTGGTGGAACATTGCCCTACTTAGGATATGTTGAGAGTGAATTGTTTGTCCCAGACCTTGATTTACTGGACACTTTACCTTGCTAAGTACTAGTTGTAGCAGACAGCAGATATAACTTGTCAGTGCTAGTATTGTTGGGTACAAATGTCTTGTCAACCTTGATGGAAAGATGCAAGTCAACAATGCCAATTCTTCAAAGAGAAAGTTGCCTATGTTGGACATGTCATTTCCAAGGATGGAGTTGAACCAGATCCTACAAAAGTGGAGGCCATCAAAAACTGGCCACGACCTACAAACCCTTTTGAGGTAAGGAAGTTTCTAGGTTTTGCAGGATACTACAGACGATTTGTAGAGAATTTCTTCAAGATATCTAAGCCTTTGTCACAATTAATGCCTAGTCCAAAAGACAAGAAAGGAAAATCAACCGTGGAATGGATCTGGGGAGATTCTCAGGAAGCAGCATTTCAGGAGCTGAAAGATAGACTTTCATCACCGCCAGTATTATTAGGTTACTGTGGTTATTCTATCCCATTTGAGCTCCATACTGATGCCAGCCAACGAGGTTTGGGTGCTGCCCTATATCAATGTCAAGGTGCCAAACACAGGGTCATTGCCTATGTCAGCCGTGGATTGTCAAGGTCGGAGCAAAATTATTCAGCCCACAAGTTGGAATTTCTTGCTCTGAAATGGCCAATTACCGAGAAATTCCACGATTACCTTTTTGGGAACCAATTCACAGTGTACACAGATAACAACCCGTTGACCTACATTCTGACAACTGCCAAGCTTGATGCAACTGGTCACAGATGGCTCGCTGCCTTGTCAGCTTACAATTTTGATGTGAAATACAGACCTGGAAAATCTAACATAGATGCGGATGTGTTGTCACGAATTCCAGATAATACAACATGACCTGAAGTCAATCAGATTTCTTCCGCATCTGTTAAGGCTATCTGTAACTCTGTTTCTGCATCCAATTATGTTGAGTGTCTAAGCATGTCCCCCCAAGTCAGTTGATGTTGGTGATATAGGTCATGATCTGAAGAGCATGTCACCTAAGGATTGGAGACGTGAACAGTTCCATGATCCAGCCTCTGCAGATATCATCAAATGGATCCGGATAGGACAAAAGCCAAGACATGACTACATGCACTCCAGTGAATTTACAGCCATATCTCGAAGCTTTGACAACCTGAAACTGAAGCAGGGTGTATTATACAGAGTAACTGCTACAGATGATGAACTTTCTGAACAGTTGGTAATATCTCATCATCTCCGTCCACAAGTTCTCAGAAGTCTTCATGGTGATATGGGCCATTTAGGACGAGACAGAACTTTGGTTTTGGTAAGAGAGCGATTCTTTTGGCCTGGAATGGCAAGCCAAAGTTGAGAAGTGGGTCAAGGACTATCCAAGATGTTTACACCTGAAAGTCAGCAAACTAATACAAGAGCTCCCTTAGTAAACATTGAGACTACATATCCACTGGAACTAGTTGCTGTGGATTTTCTCTACTTTGGAACCTTCAAAGGGAAACTATCAGCACATCCTTGTGGATGCTTTGATCACTTCTACCTAAGTATTCTCAAGCCATTCCAACTAGAAATATGACTGCTCTTGCAAAATGGCCGAAGCATTTCTGAAACATTTTTGTGGTACATTATGGTTTACCAGCAAGAATCCCTTCAGATCAAGGTGCCAACTTTGAAAGTCGTCTGATAGAAGAACTTTGTACAATTACCGGAATGAAAAAGTCAAGAACAACGCCGTACCATCCCATGGGTAATGGTCAGACAGAGCGCTTCAACCGAACACTTTTGAACATGCTTGGAACTCTTCAACCTGACCAAAAGAAGGATTGGAAAATGCATGTGTCTCCTCTAGTTCATGCCTACAATTGTACCAAACATGAAACTACTGGGTATTTTCCATCTTATTTGATGTTAAAAAAATCACGTCCCCGCCATCACTTAGTTATCCTTGACAACCGACACGAGAACATCTAATATTTTCGAAGGTAATGTGTAGTAAGTTCCACTGGTTGCAAGTTTTTCCAAAAATCTTGCTTTCTCCACCCAATCTGGTGGTCGACCTGCTTGTGACATTACAAATTCACCACTAGTTTGCCATGCAGGTTTTTGTCTAGCTCTTTCTGAACGTCTGATCAAAGCATGTGGAATGTCTTGAGCACGAGTTTGAATCCTTGTGTCATTTTGCCTTGTGATACGTATAATGTGCCTGTGTTAACGTCAACTGTGCAATGTTAAACACACTGCTGTGCTCTAACACCAGAAACTATATGTATACATTGACTTTTTATTCATTTCATACAACAAGAATTTGACTTTTATATGTGTGCAGCAGTAAATCTACAGTCATTATATGGTGTTTGCAATTTACAGATTTTGTGATATTATACATTGTCTGATTTATAGCATATTTTAATATATATACTTGCATCTCAACACTGTGATATTTGTATATGTTAGGTGTGGTGAAACACAAAATGAACTTAGTCGTTGCCCATATGTGTCAAATATTGCCCATGTTTATTTTATAAGTTCATTTTTTGTGCCTGTGTGATGTGTGGATTTTGTATGTTTATCTTGTGACATGATTGGGTGATTGGCCGATGAGTTGAGATGAATGAGTAGACTTTGTGTTGTAACTTTTTGTTAGGTAACTTGGTTCCTACTGCTATATCTTAATTAATTCAAATACCAAATCCGAACTTAGGTTATATTAACTAAGTATTTAAAACGGTACTCAGTTAATTCAACTCTTAATTAAATTTAGCATTAAGTATGTAGTAACATAAGCTATATAGCTTACTTCAGGTCAATTACTGCCTTAGTAAACTTGCTGTTGCACGTTTCTTCTCACACAGTTAGGTACCCTCTACTCAACTAATTCGTCACATTGCCCTCTAGTCTGTACAGTTTTGTCCACTTTTATTTTAAATTTTGGTTATCTCCTTTATAGCTTTTAGTTCTTTTTTATAAACCATTCACATTGGTGAGTGTCATTTTGTGGCTAGGCAGTTGGTCTGTTAGTCATGGAGGGAGTGTCGGGTATCAAGGAGGAGGATCCAGAACAGGGTGATTCGAAAGGGTCAGATTCTATGCCAGAGTTAGAAGGTGATCCAGATCTCACTGGTCTTAGTGACACTGGTCAAATTCTCATAATTCCCAAGCTTTTAATTGGCTAATTTCAAATTCCCATAATTCCCCAGCTCCAATCTGAGCACCCTTGTAATAACACTTTAGCACAGCACAGCACCCAGGCAACAAGGCAACAAGGTCCACTAAACAGCATCAAACAGGTTAGTTAAATACTTTAACACTAAACTGTCCTTAAGTGTATTTGTTCTTTTACATCTCCATTAAATTAATTGCAGACTAAATGTTATTTGGTGATTTGTAATATATGGTCATGTTGTAAACCTACTAAACTTGGTTAATTACCTTAAAACCAAAGTTCATGTTGCATTGTATTATAACTCATGTAAAACCAAATAGCATTATAAGTAATGTTCTGTTTTCACAACCATTTCCCTCAGCTTTCTAAATGTATTTAAGTGCAATGGTTTTCTGGGTGTTCTGTGAGTGGAGAGCAGAAAAAATTGTGAAAGCATTGTCATGTTGATAAATAAAAAAAGTTTCTGTATGAGCAACCATGGTGCTCAGCTTTCCCTTTTTTATATGCTTACAATGGGTTTTTTTGTATTGTGTGAACGGAGATCGTCAGTGATGGTGAAAGTATTGTCACAATCATGAACGATGTTTGTAATTGGCGGGTCACATATGTATCAGCACAACACGGTCTAATCAGTAAGGCTCCATTCCACAAATGAGTAAGATGTATTTTATATGTCAATGTATATCCTTTTCTTATGTACACCTTTCGGGTAACCTTTAAGGGTTATCAAATATTTATCTGGTTGTATGTCATGTTAATTGTGATCTTTATTGTCTGTCAGATATGTGTACATATTGTTGTAATTTAACATTATTTGGGCAAATGTGTTATTTGGCAATGAATTATCTCCCTTTGGTGTCACAACCAACGTTGATCATAGAGTTTCATGTTATTATTATTTCCTTTGACAGTTTATAATGTGGTATACTTCACATGTGTAAATGTTAGACTACAGAATTAATTGTGGTAATTAATTAATTGTGCAAAACATAATGTAATTTGTAAATGTTTCTAAGAATGTTATGTGTGTTTCAGGGCTTGATGTATTATATCTGAATAAACCGCACCTCACCCCTACAGCGAGTCATGTGATCCATTGACATTACTTGGCGTTTGAACCAGCTGTATCATAATGACGCAGAGCAATAGTAACGTATCTGCAATGCCCCTGATCAAGGGACATATCTTATAATGACGCAGACCAATAATAACATATTTATAATGCCCCTGATCAAGAGACGTATCTTATAATGACTAAGACCAATAGTAACGTATCTATAAAGCATCTGATCAAGGGACATATCTTATAATGACGCAGACCAATAGTGACTTATCTACAATGCCCCTGATCAAGAGACGTAACTTATAATGACGCAGACCAATAGTGACGTATCTATAATACCCCTGATCAAGAGACATATCTTATAATGACTCAGACCAATAATAACGTATCTATAATGCCCCTTATCAAGGGACATATCTTATAATGACGCAAACCAATAGTAACATATCTATAATGCCCCTGATCAAGATACGTATCTTATAATGACGCAGACCAATAGTATCATATCTATAATGCCCCTTATCAAGGGACATATCTTATAATGACGCAAACCAATAGTAACATATCTATAATGCCCCTGATCAAGAGACGTAACTTATAATGACGCAGACCAATAGTGACGTATCTATAATGCCCCTGATCAAGGGACGTATCATGTAAGGACTCAGACCAATAGTAACGTATCTATAATGCCCCTGATCAAGGGACGTAGCTATGGTGCAATCCTCCACGAAATCAAAATACATGTTATTGATCCGATAGAAATGTTCACAACTCGGTATCAACACATAGCATGCCTTTCAACTCGACCGAGTACTCACTAATGAATTATTCATGCTTTCACATATCGATTCCATGAAGGCAGAATCTGTATTTCTGAATAACAGCATTGGAACTCGATACAGGTATCTGTATTGAGCATGATATCTAAACATGAACTGAATCCAATCAATGTTGGAATTAAAAGATGTCATTGTCATCCGGCCACTTAAACTGGATAGGGACGCATTGAATATGATTTGTTGAAACTGAATGAATGAATGAATGGTGGTGGTGGATTTTGGTTTAACCTCGTGCTTGAGAATATTTCGCTCATATGACGACATGCATGCGTGTGTATGTGTATGTGCGGCTGCTTGTACTAGCCCAGACGGAAGCTGGTTTTACAGTGCTAGCCCACTGAGATACCATGCCGCAGTGAAGCATGAATACCCCACTCAGACACATTATACTGACTCCGAGCCGATCATTGTACCCATTAATGCCGAGCGCCAGACATAATGAAGGAAGGAAGGAAGGAAGGAATGATCTTTATTTCTTCAATAGGGTGAGTAGTCTGAGGAAGTATGGCTACGGGTAGGTAGGCGTGAGTACGTGTAAAAACATACGAGGATGGGTAGGTACTTGTGAGGACGAGCGAGGACATGCGAGCACGTACGAGGACGGATAGGTACTAGAGAGGACGAGTGAGGACGTACGAGGACGGATATGTACTTGAGAGGACATGCGAGGACGAATAGGTAGGAGCGAGGACATGCGAGTACGGATAGGTACGAGCGTGGACATGTGAGGACGGATAGGTACGAGCGAGGACGGGTAGGTACTTGATAGGACATGCGATTACGGGTAGGTACTTGACAGGACGGGCGAGGACGGATAGGTACGAGCGAGGACATGCGAGGACGGGTAGGTACTTGTAAGGACGGGTGAGTACGCGTGAGGACCTACGAGGACTAGTGAGGACTGTACGGTCATTATCAACCACAATCTCCTCGGGGAATGTCCTGGTTAGGTTTGACTGAAGATATCTACATTCGTCTGAATGAGAGAGTGAATGAATATTTCCAGTGTCCAAAGTAACTTGGCTCATCAACTATTAAATAATTGACTCCAGTGTTATATCTCCCAACGTGCATATACATACACACACATATATATGTATCAGACAGTAAATAAATAGAGATTGGATTTACGAGTGTTAATGGCAGCCATGTTGGAAAATGATCGTCATAGTCTAATCCGGCACCCTGTCTAAACCGGCATTGTATTTCGGTCTGGTTTAGACAGGTTTCACTGTATGTTTCTCACTACAATAATTAAACCACAAAACAAGTCACGATATACCACAGGAAGAAGCACATTGTTATCGCAAGAGCATTCGCTCCTGTTCACTTACTTGTTTACACAATACCGTGTTACAATTACTGAGCTGATTTATTCTGCAGTTCTTGCAATTCTTGAGCAATCGGGAATTCGTGGCATAAAGTTTTTACTGACATTTGTTATATTTGGGATTACACTTTCTTATTTAAGTACATATTCTAGTACTTCTGTGGTTGAGTTCCATCCGGGATTCGGACCCACACCCTTAGAGTTAGGCACCTTTACTAAGAAAGTGTAATCCCAAATATAACATATGTTACTGTTTCTAAATGGCATTGTGTAATCGCAGGTTTCGGTCGTGGGAGCCGTGCGGTCGTGAGGCGTAAAACTAAACTCACTCACTTACTCGCTCTGAGATGCAAGTGCAGAGCGAATGGTGGCCTGTATTTAATATTTATGTTCGCTGGTTTCTGGTATACTTTAGTTATTAAACGGAGTTGATATGATACATATGGTCCTGTAATCATTTCCAGTGTCTTGCATGGTGCATGCCTTGATGTATAACGTGGAATACCAAGGTTAACGTGGAATACCAAGGTTAACGTGGAAAACAAAAGTTAACGTGGAATACCAAGGTTAACGTGGAATACCAAGGTTAACGTGGAATACCAAAGTTAACGTGGAATACCAAAGTTAACGTGGAATACCAAGGTTAACGTGGAATACCAAAGTTAACGTGGAATACCAAGGTTAACGTGCGATACCAAAGTTAACATGGAATACCAAGGTTAACGTGGAATACCAAGGTTAACGTGGAATACTAAGGTTAACGTGCAATACCAAAGTTAACGTGGAATACCAAGGTTAACGTGGAATACCAAAGTTAACGTGGAATACCAAGGTTAACGTGGAATACCAAAGTTAACGTGGAATGCCAAGATTAACGTGCAATACCAAAGTTAACATGGAATACCAAGGTTAACGTGGAATACCAATGTTAACGTGGAATACCAAGGTTAACGTGCAATACCAAAGTTAACGTGGAATACCAAGGTTAACGTGGAATACCAAAGTTAACGTGGAATACCAAGGTTAACGCGGAATACCAAGGTTAACGTGGAATACCAATGTTAATGTGGAATGCCAAGGTTAACGTGGAATACCAAAGTTAACGTGGAATACCAAGGTTAACGTGGAATACCAAAGTTAACGTGGAATACCAAAGTTAACATGGAATACCAAGGTTAACGTGGAATACCAAAGTTAACAGATGCTCTGTACAGTAAATGTCAACAACGCCTCCATCAAACTGCGATCTTTTAACGTTTCCCAATCTGTTATGATGTTGTTTTATACCACTTTTATTCAGAATATACTCACATTTTCTTCTCAGTGCTGGTTCGAGTCTCTTTCAGTCAAAAACTAATCAAAACTTAACAAATTGTAAATACAGCTAGTAAAATAGCCGGGGTCACTTTCGATAATCTTACACTTCTCTATGAGCGGCAAGTACTTTCAACGTACTCATTAATGACACAACACATCTTTTTTTAAATCTAGAGTATAAGCTTTTACCTTTGGGCCGCCGCTATACAGTGCCAATCACCAAGACTAAACGAGCTCGAACGTCTTTCGTACCTCAAAGAATTGCAGACCGCCTCCGTGGTGTAGGGGTTAGAGCGTCCGACAGAGAGCGGAAGGTCGCGGGTTCGATCCCCGACCGCGCCATACCTAAAAACGTTAAAATATGGTACTTGTTGGTCCCTGTCCGGCGCTCGGCATTAATGGGTACAACAAGGACTGGTCGGCTCGGAGTCAGTATAATGTGTCTGAGTGGGGTATTCATGCTTCACTACGGCATAGTATCTCAGTGGGCTAGCACTATCAAACCAGCTTCAGTCTGGGCTAGTACAAGTAGCCGCACATGCACATACACACGCATGCATGTCGTCATATGAGCGAAATATTTTCAAGCACGACGTGAAACCCAATTTCACCTCACCTCACCTCACCTCACCTCACCTTTGGCGAACGCTTTAACCACCATTCAGCCCCACCGCTCCGTCAATATTATGCTGTGATATAAAAACCCGTCATATCTCATATAAGGTTCTGCCAGTGTTTTTCATCAGCATGGGCCCAACAACGTATTGCTGCAGGTAGCCGTCGGCCCCGATGTTGGTGTTGTTTGGGGGATATTTTGTTTAGCTCAGAATACTAACCTTTGTTCAGGAAGATAATATAATAAACTGACGTACAAAAGAAACTTTACAACCGTAATTTCGAAAATATTTTGAAAACCCATAACGTAAACTTGAAATCTGTGGTCAGTATGATATACCAAACACACAACATATGAATCATTAGCCCCAACACACCAACTTCAGTGTTTTTTTTGCTTTTGAAGGATGTTTTTCGAAATTCATGTTTATTGGTGACTGACCCACTCAGCAATATTCCAGCTATATGGCGGCGATCTGTAAATAATCGAGTCTGGACCAGACAATCCAGTGATCAACAGCATGAGCATCGATCTACGTAATTGGGAACCGATGACATGTGTCAACCAATTCAAGTCAGCGAGCCTCACCACCCGATCGCTTCGTACGACAAGCATGGGTTGCTGAAGACCAATCGAGATTTCCGACCTGTGTTATAAAAGAGTTCAATGATGAACTTTGACGGACTGTCCTCATATGGAAGTGTAAATCGTTGTGGAACAGCGTTGTATCTGTTTATTACATTGTTTCAGTTAAGATTCAGTACACCTCAGATGCAGATACTTGGAGTCCAGAATATCATCTATGTAAAGCAATTTCTAGAAGCTCTTTCAGGTAATCAGAGTGAGTGAGTGGTTTAGTGAGAGAGTGAGGTTTTACGCCGCCTTTAGCAATGTTCAAGCAATATCACC